TAAATCAGAAAGAGAGAAATAAACTCTGGTGGCCCAAGTAAACTATGAAATAGATCACTTACCTGCTGACACTCTATATCCGTGCTGTCTGAGGAGTCGAAATCCTAAAGAAACAATATATAGGTCGTCATCGCAGTCGCCTACAATACCACTCCTATAAATGCGATCTAATCTTTCTCCGATTTCAGCCTCAAAATGGTAGGATATGCTGAGCCGTTGGATATTGTCGATTAAAACCATGGTTTCTGTGTCATCAATGGTGGCAGTAATCATCCTCATCAAATTTTTCTTCATGTCATTGAACCAGGCAATATTGAAATCAACCTGGAAATAAGTCATTAATATTCAATCTTTAAAGACCTTTGATTGCCTGAAATAGATTGGATCTTATCTCTTGGACTAAAGTGAAAAGTGGGCTATAATTTAATGCAAAATGATTCAATTCAAATGCCACTACTACAATACGAATATTAGTACATAAGAAATCTACTCTTGGCTCACTAGGAAAGACAAAACCCCTGGGCAAACTTTCATTTGCTATTTTTGTAGTACATGACTCATTTGTTTCTGCCCAAAACCAAGACTAAAAAGATTTGGACATGAAAATACAAAGTTTAAATTCTTAGTAATGATTTCTTGAGGAGGATCGAATATAATGGGGAAAATGGGTTTATAAAGTGGAAAACAAAAAGTTTTGGGGTATTTTGTTCAATTTATTTCTTGTATTTTATTTTTTTATATTTTTATTAGATTTTTCTATTTTAAAAAAATAGACGTCCAAAATTTCAAGTGATTTTGATATGTAGAAAACAAATGAAAATTTAAATTCGAAATGAGACCATAGCCATTGGATCCTGCTTAAATTCAATCTGAACCGTTGGATGAGATTGTTATATAAGCAGCTTGGTTGACTTTATCATATATGGAGCAGTCTAACGTCTCCAATACTGAACTACTTAAGAAGAAAAAAAAAAAAAACAAGTACAGAAAGTGGGCGAGTAGATATCTCTAACATTGGATCCCAAAGTCTTTCATATATTCTCCACCTTGATATCATATATGTTTAACCTCCATATCATGGCAAGGAAATGTGTTATTACCACAATATGGTCATTCTACGTACAGTGTTATGCATAAAAAAGAAACGAAATATGGGCTCGTCTGAAATTAGAGACATCAGATTGGCCCCTTTCTATACTAATTCCAAATATAAGCCTATGTAACAAACATTAGATGGGTATACTTCACATGTATGGTGTCAAACCGCCCTCAATGAGATATCTAGGGCATCAGGCTACCCCAAAAACCATAAAAACAAAAAGAAATGCAATACTAGCAAATCTAGAAGAAAACCACCACGAAAACAGAGGCGTCCAAGTAAAATTTCTAGACCAAAGTGTTATCACAATAGATATTACCGTCCGTGAGTAAGTTTTCCTAAAACTGTAAAAAAAGGAGTGGGAACACAATCTGACCATGAACTCTCACCTCGTAACCATTAAAGTGGAGGTCATTATTGGAGAAATCACATGAATTCTCATGTTTTTTTGTGTGAAAACTTGGGGTGCTTCTTGTAAGACCAGGGAGCGGGACATTATCCATTGGGAGAGAGAGGAGAGAGAATGGTTATGGGGAAGGAAGGAAAGTGCATGGCTGAGAGTAGTGAAACGTTCCATATTTATGGGAGTGAGACTGAGAGAAGCAGTGTTTTAACGCTTCAAAAAAGCTTAACACGTAATGTCATAGGTTCAAAAAAACTTAACACGTAATGTCATAGTTTTCATTCCTACTGTTAACACCTCAAAAAAATCGAGAGTGAAAGAAAGCTACGTAGAAATCAGGTGGAGAGTAAAGTGTCTGTGGCGAATGCCTCGAAATAACACCATACCGTCCATTTCCAACATGAAAAATGAGAAGAAATAAAGGTACGAAAGAAGCTGCGCACGACCCTACTAACGTGTACTACTCAGGTGGTATGTTGGGTTATATGTGTATATGTCAATTATGTGTGGTCCCTTCAAAGGGATCACCGTACATTTTTGAGAAGAACAAGTGATGCCATCCAACCGACCGTTATCTCAATAGTCCAGGGACGCTAGATTTTGAAGTTGTAGAGCACATGGTCCTAACCCCACAGTATTCTTTGTGAGGTCAATACCAAAAAATTTGTTGGAAGCTCCCCACTTTGATACAGACCAGGGTTTAAAAAGTTGCCGAGTCGAGCCGGACTCGCCTGGTTCGACTCGGGAATCGCTACAGGACGTGCCGATTCCGTACAAAACACGGGAATCGCCCGTGTCCAGAGAGTACTGGGCGATTCCCAATAGTAGACTCGCGATTATGTCTGAGTCCCAATAGTAGAATCGCGAGTCATCCGGAAGAACACGGGCTGCACCGTGTTTTTCACGGGATTTTGATTTTTTTTTTCATTTTTTGATCGATTTTCAATGTTTTCAGCCTTATGAACGAATATTACAGACTTTAATTCAAATTTCAAATCATTTTCACTCAATAAAACGAATTAAACACCACCGTTTTTTATCAATAAATTTGGTTCACAGAGTGAGTTTTAAGGTTTCCGCCATTTCAATGATTTCAATCGAAATAAAGCTTCATTTTTTGTAAAATTTCAGGCTGAGTGATTGTAAGAGTGTTGGTCAGAATTTTGTGTTCATAATTTGTGATTATCTTGGAGGAACAGATATCAATTTTGACTTTGAAGGCACGAATGCACGAAGAACAGGTAAAAACTCAGTTTTTTTTTTTTCCGCCATGCGTTCAAATCCAGTAATATTTTACAAATCATGTATTAAATTTATAGGGTGTTGATTCTTTGCAGTGTTGTTTATCATTAGATATATTCAATTTGATTATATTTATTCAATTTGAGTTGGATTTTTTAGAAAATACCAGTGACGTCTGTTATAAAAAAAGTGAACTGTTTTTTTTTTTCCCCCCATTTTCACTATTTCAATCGAAATAAAGCTTTAGTTTTTGTAAAATTTCAGGCTGAGTGATTGTAAGAGTGTTGGTCAGAATTTTGTATTCATAATATGTGATTATCTTGGAGGAATAGATATCAATTTTGAGTTTGAAGGCATGGATGCACGAAAAACAAGTAAAAACTCAGTTTTTTTTTTTTTCCCGCCATGCGATCAAATCCAGTCAATATTTTACAAATCATGTATTAAATTTATAGGGTTTTTATTCTTCGTAGGGTTGTTTATCATTAGATATATTCAATTTGATTATATTTATTCAATTTGAGTTGGATTTTATAGAAAATAAGAGTGAAGTTTGTTAAAAAAAAAGTGGATTGTTTTTTTTTTTTTCCGCTATTTTCACAATTTCAGTAAATATTTTGCAAAGAATGTATTAAATTGATAGGGTTTGATTCGTTATGGTGTAGTTTATCATCTCATGTATTCAATTTTATCTAATTTATTCAATTTGAGATTGATTTTTGAGATTGAATGACTGATGTCTGTGAAGAACTGCGTTTTTTTTTTTTTCCCTCAATTTAATCGATTTTATTTAATATTTTGATAATAATGTGTTAATATTATAGGGCTTTGATTCCTTATAGTGTTGTTTATTAAAACATGTATTACATTTGATGTAATTTATTTGATTTGAGGTGGATTTTTGAGCTGGAATGACTGATGTTAGGTTGGTTTATGAAGAACTGGGGTTTTTTTTTTTTATATTCATGATCAATTTTTTTGATAAATCGTGATTTTTCAAAAAATTGTTTTTGATTATCATGAGGAATTAAACAATATTTTTAATTTTTATTGTTAAATTTCTAGTTCAAAAAATTGCATGTTGATAGATTATTTATCCAAAAAAATGCATGTTACTATATTTTTAATGCAAAACTGTATTTTTTTAATTTGTTGTTAATGCAAAAAAAAACATTAACAAATACATGTTGTTAAACTGTATTATATTTTTAATGCAGTTTTGCATTAAAAAAGTATTTTTAGGTTTTTAAATTTTTAATGCAAAAAATACATGTTGTTAAACTGTATTATCATGAGGAATTAAAGTGAATATCATTGCAAAATATCATGTACGATAATTAGATTAGCTTGCAATTATCAATTTTATTATTAAATTTTTAATGCAAAAAATGTATGTTCTTGATAATTGAGTTGTAGGCATGTTTGGAGCTTGCTTTTTTTATTATATTATCTTGCATATTTGTAATTGAGATGTATGAATATTTGGCATGTGTGACTTATACAGAATTTTTTTTATCTATAATGTTGCATAAATATTTTTTTTTTCTCGGTAGGAACTAATTCATTTTTGTCGAAATGAAGATTTGTGACAAGTCCATATGTATTGGCATTGTGAATTACTATACCATTGTAAATATATTTTTTATTGATACTATATCAATGTAAATTTATTGTTCTTTATGTAGTGGCTGATATAGGCTATTTTTATCTATAATGTTGCATAAATAAATTATTTTTCCCAATAAGAATTAAAATATTTTTGTCAATAGAAGTATTTTGCATTAATTAACAAATATAACTTCATGAACTACCACTACATATTATCACCACACATGATGATTATTTTTCATGTTCAACTGTCAGGTTAATTTTTAACCTTTTACATTTTAAAGTTGAACCATGGTAAGATATGCAGAAGACCCTGCATGGCAACATGGGGTCAAACTTGATCCCAACAAAAAAGACAAAATTATTTGTAATTACTGCTAAAGAGTGATAAGTAGTGGGGTACATATGTTCAAGCAACACTTGGCAGGGGTTACGGGAGATGTTTCTGCGTGCAATAGTGTCCCTAATAATGTAAGAAAGCAAATGGCGACATTTCTCAAGGCTACCAAAGGAAAAAAAATTACAAGGCAAAGGATGGATGAGGAGATAACTAGTTTATATACGCCATCAAGCGGAAATGATCTAGAAGAGTAATATAATAATGACTTAGAGATGGCCACAAGAATAAGTTTACATGAAATATATAAGAAGGAACGCGGGTTTAGAATGCCTGGTGGTTATGACATGGGCATGCATGGTGGGCCTAGCTCAGACATGTATGGCGGGCCCAACTCGAGCATGTATGGCCGGTCCAGCTCAAATATGTATGGAGGGGTTGGTGGCAATATGTATCAAGAAGAATCAGACGTTGAAGAAATTGTTTCTAGGTTACCTAAGAGTGGCAATATTGCAAGTCATGGTCGTATCGACCTATTTATCTCAAAGCCTAAGTCACAACAGATGACCCTAAAAGCCATGGTTAAAGGTACAAGAAACATGTTGGGGAGATATGTTGGTAAATAGTTCTACGATAAAGGAATTCCCTTTGATGCAGCCAATAGCCCATATTTTCCATCTATGGTCAGTGCAATCCAGAAAGCCGGGCCTGGGGTAAAACCCTCGACGGCATATGAGCTTGGTGGGCCAATATTAGATGAAGAGGTGGAGGAAGTTAAAAAGTGGATTGAAGAATATAAACAGAGTTGGCCAATGACAGGCATTACTCTCATGAGTGATGGTTGGTTGAATAAAGTTAGCAAAAATGAGTTTTTAAACTTCTTGGCCTATTCCCCAAAAGGTACAGCTTTTTTGTCTAGCAAAGACGTATCAGGGACGAAGAAGGATGCAACCTTCTACGCGCGAATTTTTATCGGAAGCACCCTCTTAAATATTTTATGTAAGTGGCCTCATTGTCTCAAAAAATAATTGATTCTTTTTAAAAATAAAATGAAATAATTACTTTTGCTTATTATCATGAATTTTAGGCGCGAAAAATTTTATGCCCAAGCGGCCTCATTATTTTGAAGAATAATATTTTTAGTAAAAATGGTGACATTTTATCTATTGTAAAATATTTTAAATGCTGTAAATTCTTAGAAATAAATATGTTTATTTTTCTTGTCCATTGTTAGAAAATTTTAGATACTGTAAAATTATTAAAAATAAATGTGATATTTCTGCATTTAGTAAAATTGTGAGATTTCTTTCTACTGTTTTTTAATATTTAGACATTGTAAATTTCATGTGCAAATGACTGCCTTATTATTTGAAAACTGATATTTTTGCATTTGATTATAGCATTGTCAGTGAAATGTTCATTTGCTAATTGACATCCCATAAATTGTGATAATTCTGTATTCGTGAATTTCTATTAGTGTTTTTCTATCCATATTAGATTGGCAATTATGCTAGAATGTCTTTACGAACTGCTACCTTTCTTCATTTGAGCCCAAAATATTTGACTGGTTATTTTAGAAATGTTATTGAAAGTGATTGTTAATAATGGTTTCAGTGAAATTCATATTAATAATTTCAGTGATAAGTTGAGTACATGATATTACTGCTTTCGAATGTTTAAAGAGATTTAGAAATACTTTAAGTATGCAAGTGGACTCATCGGGTTCGCCGGTGAGGTATAAGCGGACCTATCTGGGACGCCGGTAAGGATTAAGTGGACTCATCCGGTACACCGGTGAGGTATAAGTGGACCTACAGGGATTAAGTGGACCTATTTGGGACGCTGATAGGGATTAAGTGGACCCATCAGGACGCTGATGGGATATATAGGTGACCTACTTGAGATGCTAGTAGGGTAATTTGTGAAA